TACAAAAATCAGTATATCAACATGACTCTTTAAAATAGTAATAAACAATGAGAAATAAAAATTTTTAAACCACTCACAATAGCACCAAAAGACATGAAATATTTAAGGATACATTTAACAAAATACATGGAACACATGTACATAAAAAACTAGACAGCACTATTGACAGAAATTAAAGGAGGCCTAAAGAGACATACCATGACTGTGCATTAAAAGTCTTAACATTGTTAAGGTATCAATTCTAAGCTGATCTATGTAATCTCACTCAAAATCCCAAAACGTACACACTAATAAACTGACTGCCCTGCAGATGCTGTCCTGGACCTGCCAGCAGCACAGATGCAGATGCTCTGCTATATCTGTAACATCAGGGCAAAGTGAAAGTGGCTATTTCTACACTCAGTGTTCAGAAAACAGTGAACAAGAAGAATGGATAATAGCCTGACATTTCTTAGGGGAAAAACAACAACAACAACAAAACTGAGTCTAACATTTATGTGAAATTGCAAAGGACCTAGAACAATTTTGAGAACACAGTTGAAGGACTTACACTACCTGATAATTTTAAGACTTACTATAAAGTTACAGAAATCAAGAGTGTGTCATGAGTGAGAGGACAGATACCTAGATCAGTGGAACAGAATAGATTCTAGATAGATTCACATGCTATATACACGGTTGACAGGTTTTTAACAATGGTGGCAAAGTAATTCAATGGGGAAAGGATAATCTTTTTAACAAACGGTGCTGAAAAACTAGATACACATATTTTTTAAATAAACCTTGACATTTACCTTCCACCATACAGAAAAACTAAATGAAAATGGATCATAGATTTAAATATAAAAGCTAAAATTATAAAACTCCTAGAAAATAACACAGGAGAAAATCTTTGTGATCTTAGGATGAACATATATTTTGTTGACATGCAACACAACTGTATACATAAAAAATCATGAAATGATACACAAGAAGCATAAATCATAAAAAAAGTAAACTAGCCGGGCGCGGTGGCTCACGCCTGTAATCCCAGCACTCTGGGAGGCCGAGGCGGGCGGATCACAAGGTCAGGAGATCGAGACCACGGTGAAACCCCGTCTTTACTAAAAAATACAAAAAATTAGCCGGGCGCTGTGTCGGGCGCCTGTAGTCTCAGCTACTCGGGAGGCTGAGGCAGGAGAATGGCGTGAACCCGGGAGGCGGAGCTTGCAGTGAGCCAAGATCGCACCACTGCACTCCAGCCTGGGCAACAGAGTGAGACTCTGTCTCAACAACAACAACAAAAAAAAGTAAACTAAATTTCATCAAAATTAAAACTCTCTGCTCTTCAAAGACATCATTAAGAAAATGACAAGGTAAGCCACATACTAAGATAAAATAGTCACAGCACATATATTTAACAAATTCAGTATCCAGAATATATAAATAACTTACAAATCAATAAAAAGAGTTAAGGGGCAGAATATTTCAACCAAGCCTTTATCAAATAAAATATATAATTAACAAATAAAAATATCAAAACACAGGGGACATCACTAGTCACAGGAACATGCAAATTAAAACCATCATGAGATACCACTACTACACATCGGTTAGAATGGCTAAAATTAAGAAGAATGAAAATACTAAGTGTTAGCAAGGGTGTGGCCAAAGTGGGACTCTCACAATGCAAAATGGTTCAGTCATTTGAAAAACTGTATGGCAGGTTCTTACAGTTACATTTACCGTATGACCAGCAATTCCACTCCACCCAAGACAAATGAAAACATATGGTTACATAAAGATCTGTGAACCCATGTTCATAATAGCTTTACTGATAATAAAAAAACTGGACACAGTCCAGTTGTCCATTAATAAGCAAAGGCATATACAAATTGTGGCATGGCTATAAAGCAGAACACTGCTTGGCAATAAAAAATAAATGCACTGGCCAGGCACAGTGGCTCATGCCTGTAATCCCAGCACTTTGGGAGGCAGAGGCGGGTGGATCATAAGGTCAGGAGTTTGAGACTAGCCTGGCCAATATGGTGAAACCCCATCTCTAATAAAAATACAAAAATTAGCCGGGCATGGTGGTGGGCACCTTTAGTCCCAGCTACTCAGGAGGCTGAGGCAGGAGAATGGCTTGAACCTGGAAGGCTGAGGTTACAGTGAGCTGAGATCATGCCATTGCACTCCAGCCTGGCCGACACAGCGACTCTGTCTCAAATAAATAATAAATAAATAAATAAATAAATAAATAAATAAATAAAATTTAAAAAAATGCACTACTGGTAAAAGCAACATGGAAAAATCTCAAAAGTACGCTGTGACAGACGCCATATATAAAAGGCTACATACTATACAATTTGTGTGATTTCATTTATGTGACAGTATAGAAAAGGTAAAATTATCGGGACAAAAAAAGAGAACAGTGTTTCCTAAGGTCTTAAAGATGGAATATACAGCAAAGGGGCATTGGAACTTTCGCTGATGAAGGAAATGTTCTACATTTCAATTAGAGCAATGGCTAAATGACAATATACATTTGTCAAAATTCACCTAACTATACACTTTTAAAGGATGTATTATATTGTAAGTAAATTATACCTCAATAAAAAGGGCACACACAAAAAGTGACATGCCATTGAATATAAGGAAACTATACAAAAATCAGTTGTATTTTTCTATACAAGCAACTAATAAAAACTGACATTTTTAGAACAAAACATCATGTACAACTGCATCAAAAATATCAAAGAATAACTCTTTAAAAAGATGTGTGAGATCTTCACACTGAAAACTGCAAAACATTGATAAAAATCAAAGATGAAAGAAGGGATAAACCATATTCATGAATTGGAAGACTCAAATACTGTACAGATATCAACTATCCCAAAATTGGTCTATAAATTCAATATAATCCCAATTTTAAAACTTATATGGAAATACAAAATGCCTAGAAAAAACAAGGCAACCTCAATAAACGAAACTGGAAGAACTATATTACCAGACAGCAAGACCTATCATAAATTACTTATAAAGTACTTAAGACACACATTATTTATCCTGCACAAGGGTAAATAATAGCCCAATGGAATGAAACAATGTCCAGGCCTACACATATACAATTAGCTGATTTTCAGTCAAGATTCTGGCAATTCAGTGGGAGAAGGGATGACATTTCAATAAGTGGTGCAGCACCAATTGGTTATTCATATGGGGAAAAAAAAAAGACAATCTTGTCCTCTACCTCACAACACATGCTAAAATCGATTCCAGATAAACTGTACATCAAAATTTAGGAGCAAGAACAATAAAATTTTAAAAGAAAATAAGAGAAGATCCACATGATCTTGAAGTAGGCTAAGGCAAAGCACTGATCCAAAGGAAAAATGTAATGATCTGGACTATTTTAAGAACTTCTACTCTTCAAATGATGCCATTAAGAGAGTGAAAAGGTGAAATTAGAAATATACATACATACAGCAAAAGATTTTTATCCAGGAAATTTCAGTTACTCCCACAAATAAGAATAAAAATAGACCCACAGCACAGAAGAATTGGACATAGATTTAAACAGGTATTTCACCAAAGAGGACATCCAGATGGCCAACAAGCATATAAAAATGTGCTGAACATTATGTCATTAAGGAAATGCAAATTAAAATAAAAAGGTACTACCATGGACCCACTAGAATGGCTAAAATGGAGAGTTAACAATGGTGATGTTGTAAAGGGTGCAGAATAACTGACACCCTCATACCTTCCTGATGAAAGTGTACATGACTACTGAGTTTGGGGCTGTATCCATTAAAGCTGAACATCTGCAAATATATAACACCAATTCCATTCCTGTATATATATATCCAACAGCAACATGCACCTATGTGCAACAAAAGATATATAAAAGACTATTCATAGCAGCATTATTGTTAATAGAGAAAAAGTGGGAAAAAAGTGAAATGTTTATTAAACACTCAATGGATAAGATGATATGTTTATACAATGGAATACCAGATAGCAACAAAAATGAAAAAAATCACAACCATATAAAAAAACATGAATTAATCTTATAATGTTGCACAAATGAGGGCAGGCACAAAAGAATACATAAGCTATTGTCCCATTTATTTAAAGATCAAACATAGGCAAAATGAACATATGGGGTTAGAAGTCAAGATAGTGGTCAAATGTGAGAATGAAGTAGTGAATGGGAGGAGGCAGATAGGGCTTTTCGGATGCTGGTAGTAATCTCAACAGGGGCTACAACGACATTTCACTTTATGAAATTTACTTTGTGATAATTCACCAAACAATACACTTAAAATTTGTGTGTTTTAATGTTTGCATGTTATTCTCCAAGTTTTTAAAAATTAGACAATTCTATATGTTAACAGAAAGAACTTCAATATATGTGTGTGGTTTAATGAAAAGAAACAACCATTAAATAGTGCACTACACAGAATACTACCATTTTGTAAAAACAGTAATGAAAAGGATATATGTTTGTGTACTATAATCATAATGGCAACATTTACTAAAAGCTAACTACTTGCTAAGGTACTGTGCTAGGCACTTTTCATGCCTTTTATCATTTACTCCACTCCACATTATGAAGTAGGTAGTATTATAACCCTTATTTTATGAATGAGAAAACTGAGGTACAGAGATATCAAGTAACATGCCCATGGTCACCAAGCCATAAAGCTGAAAAACGGGCACTGTGACCCAGGCTCTCCAGATCCACTCTTCCCCACCACACTCTCCCTAGATAGGCACATGAGAAACTGGCAATGGGGTGCCTCTGAGAAGGGATCTGGGGATTGGAAGGCAGGCTGAGAAGAAGGCTGGCTTATCATAGCATACTCTAGGTACCTTTTGAAGGAATACTTTTGCATGTCTTATCTATTATCAAAAAAGTACTTATTTACAATATTTTTCTATGGTCTATAATTTCTGAGCTACACAAAATTGCTTTATTCACAAGGTAAGCATAACTCACTGTTTTATTACTTTACCTGATTTAGGATGCAAAGCATCGCATTGGGCATTGTACATGTGTACAAATTCTTGGTGCCTTTTAATGAGCTGTTGTTTATTTCCTTGAATAGATAATCCATGCTCTTTTAGCTTTTTCTTTAAATCACGATCAGAGAGCAAATTATATACAGTTTTGGGCAGCGGTTTCCTTTTGTGAACAGAACTGAAAAGGGGGGAAGATCCTGATGATTATTGTGAATTATCAAATGCTTTTCATGTAAAATGGCAAACACATTCTGATTCAACACCTGGGTGCCTGGAAAAATAGTAGAACCATTAGATTAAAAAGGGGAGAGAAAAATCAAGTTTGCAGATAAAGCTGAGTGTCTGACATGATGCATCTGAGGTGCTGGTGAGACATTCAGACACAGGGGCCTAGGTGGCACCAGAAGTGAGAGACTTGGGTCTCAAAAAGACGTCAGACCTGAAGAGGCACACTTAGAAGACATATATGTAAGGCTTGTGGAACATGCTATGAGGACTTCATTTAGAATCACACTTACACAGACCTACTCAATTTTCCACCTCTTTAAAGCATGCTTGAAATTCTAGTGAGCTAAAATTCAAGCTACCTAAAAGTACCAATGACTTGAGACAATTCCATAAACAGGAACTTCTTAGTGAGTTTTAATTCATTTCATCTGATTCTAGCAGGTTCTCTACCTGGCTCAGCTTTATGGCAATTAGATGCTCAACAAAAATGTGTTCAAGGAGGTCATTACACTTGCTATCATTTCAAAATAAGAACAGCAAAGATTCAGGTGAAAATTAACAGAAACTTGAAATAATAGGTTTATCAAAATAACAAGTTTTTACAAAGGATTAGCATATAACTAGCTCACACAAGGCTGTCCCAAACATTAGTGTACCTAAGAAGCACCTAAAGAGTTAATTTAAAATGCAGATTCTCCATCCCCTTCTCCACACCGTCCACCAATTGTGGTTCGGTCTGAAGTGGAGATCTAAAATCTCTATTTTCAACAAGGTTCTCCAGAGTAAATCTGATATAAACAATCCGATAATCAAATAGAGAAATATTACAGTCAGGTATAGACTGAAAACAATCAAAAATTTCTCTATTAACCAACAGGGCCATTCCCCAAATAAATTATGTCTTTCATGCTGTATTAATGAAGTCTAAAAGCCAGAAATAACTAATTAAATGTGAAAAGACCTGCAAACTCTCGATAGATTATATTTTTCTGAAAATTGCTCTTCTTACAATGACAGTCCATCAGACTCTACAAGACTGATAAAATTACAGCAAAATGAAATCTCAGTAGGTAGCAACAGCTGAATCATTTTGTGTTTACAGAAGCACACAGGGAGAGATGATTCATTAAGTCTGTATCTAAAATATTTGTTTTATCAAGGATAGATGATTAAACTATGACTGTGAAATTCTAGTGAGGAACTGTACTGTTCATTGGCATTTACAATAAAAAGCACCACTAGAGATCAATTTCTATCAGGAATTTTAAAACATGAAACCCGATAAATGTTTCCCCAAACACAAAAATGACATTGATTTTTCTTCCGTGATTTAGTGGAACTGAGTAACACATTTAAGGGGTCTCAGAATCTGAGGACAGCAAAGGAAGGGTGCATCTGCGAATCAGTTCTGACATGGTTTTATATAGAAAGGTTAAAGGCTGCCACTCACATTCAGCAGATGGCCTGTCAGAATATTGCGGAGGAGACAGGAAAACTCACAGGGCCTCTTCTCTATGACCCGACTCTGGGGCCAGGATACAACTAAAGAACGACATGGCCTAGTGTTGCCTTCAGTATCTCCACAAACACCAGTTTTGTAAGATGCAAATGATGACAGAAACGCTTGGCAGTCAAATAAATTTAGGAATTACTGAATTAAACAAAACCTAACAGTTACACTTAATGTAGGACTTCTCAAAGCCTTTAACACACTAAGCGGGGATCCAGGAGGTGGTGCTTGTAAGTTCACTACAGAGCACTGGCAGGACTATACCATTCTTTGAAGCAGGAATTTAAACCACTATTAGAACTTAATTACACATGGACGAGTATGTCTTTAAAAAACTGACAGCATCAAAAATGATGTATCAGAAATGTATTCGAACTGATGGATGGATCTAGAAAAAGAGGAGTCCAGGCAAGATAATCAGCGCAGATTCCTTATTTTTCCAAAAGAATATACTCAGCTTCTATATTCCCAACTCATGCATTTCTAAAGAGAAAAGCAGGTCATCAAACTCTCGTGGCTTATGGGAAACAATCCTTAGGACTATTCATTTACTCCAAATCACCACTAACTAAGCAACCTAAAAATCTAAATTTTATTCTCATCAACAAACTTACCCACTAGGTGGGAGTATTGTGCATGCAAAACTGCCCCAGGTTTGGACTCAAATATGTCTACCATTTTTAATAAAGCAACACTGTGTCTTATATGTTAGCTTTTGTAAGTTGTAACAGTATGAATTCGACCCTCGAAATCTGCATTCACTCCAAATTTACTCATAAAAATTAAGTGATATATTTTCTTTAATCACAAAAAATAATACTATGGCTCTGTCTTATTAACATGGTTTTTGGAAAATACTCTTCAAAGTCCTTTAAAACAGACTGAACATAGAAGCAAATCATTCTTTCACCCCCACTTCCCAGATACCATTAATTTCTTCAGCTTCCCTCCTCTTCTTTTCCATATCTCTCTGAATTATCACCTATTATCTTCCCCTTGCCTCCTGTTTCAGAAGGGTCCTTTCTGCATGTCAAGGATAACCTCATTACTGGGCTCTTATGCTCCTCACTTTCTTCCATTTATCCTCTGCTCTCTCCCTGGAAATAGTGGAAGGAAAGAGACTGAAGGCCTAAACTCCTGTTTTAAAAAATAACATCCTTTGATCTTTATGCCACTAACTCCTTCTCCAAACTACCATTTCATCTTTCTCCCTTCATCACCAGACTCATCTAAATTGTGTCTTCTGTTTATTATCCACTGATTCCCTAATGCCTTGCAATTTGACTAGTATTTCATTCCTGAACAACTTATATGTCTAACAATAGTGGACTGGTATAAGAAATTACAGTTATTTTCATGTACAAAGGAGGTAGAATAGCACAGTTGTTTAGATGCAAATACTGAGCTGACAATTTATTAGTCACCTGGATGGTGTGGTGTGGGGTACGACATTACATTTCATATATGCATTTTTGTACCTTTTTATATCATATATATTTATATAATTTCCTAGTCAAAAATTTTTGAAAAATTCGATTTTAAATTTTAAAACTTCTGAGCATCCTAAAGATCAGAGAAAGATTTTCTATATTCTATATTCAGAGTCTAATCTTGCTTTCTTTGGCCAAGAGGCTTTTTGGTAGTTTTAAAATTCTAAGAGAAAAAAACAAGTTTAAAAAGAATTGAATTTGAAGTCATTAATTTCTTATTAAGTGAAAATTTAGTAGCAGTTCAAATATTCAATATAGCTAATCATATTTGGCAAAGTGGGAGCTGAAGAAAGAACAGAGAGGGATTGGAAGAAGTGGCCAACAGGAGTGAAGGAGAAAGCAAGTAAGAGCAGGAAATACGGTTACCAGGATAAAATAAATACTGTAATTTTCCCCCAAGTTTATAAAGCACAAGAGGCACCCAGCTAAAGTAGCTCAATGGTTCTGCTCAACGTCCTTACCTTCTGAGGCTTTCCTTCTTCTCTTCGCGTGATAAACAGCTGTCTAAATGCTTATTAATGTGACTTTCTGGAATATTAACCCCACAAACAGGACAATCCACTGTATTTTTTAAAAAGAAAAAGAGGGACTATTAATTGTAGAAAGGGCAAAAGTATGTAAACTGGCATCTTTTCAGCAAGTAAAGTAAAAAAGAATCCCAACTTAACATGCACTTAGAAAAGCAGAAAAGGAAAAGAATGGCCCGTCGGGACAACAGGAGTGGGACAGACTGGTTACTGGGTAATGGCTAAATTGTGGGAAGTCACACAATTGAAGTCCTGGCACCAGAGAAAGAGACTGCAAATAAGCTTGAAAGTTTGTTTATTAGAAAATGCTTCGGTTAAATCTTTTCTAACAAGGTATGACCAAACTATAGAACTAATCTTAAATTTTCCCAAGTCTTAGGAGCTATTCATGTTTAGCATAGAAGCAATAGTAACAACTTAAGACACACCTGGCCCAGGGGCTGGGTGAAGGAAAGGTAGTTTAGTAATTTATTGAGTTGGGCCAACTACTGTTCAATTTTGTCAATGGTTACAAGTTTGTTAATTCAGCTCTCATTTATAATTCTATACATAATGTTAAAATTAAGGAATACAATCATTCCCAAACTATTTCATAAAGTTGCAGGGATCTGTGGGGGTAATTCGGGGCCTACAGACTTCCATGGATAATAGGCAGAAAGAGGTCAGGTGAAACAGAACAATCTGTTTTACCTATTTTAACATGTTATGGTTTATTGTAAAATTTCATTTGGGAAAAAAGGTTCTGCCAGGGGAAAAACAGTTAACCATCAAGCTAAAAAATACTACAATAATAACTGTCAAATAGTAAAAAGACTAAGGATAGACATAGTAGAAAATATAAGTGAAATTTATATATCTTTAAAAGATGTAAACACATTAAGTACTAATAAACTAATTTCAATCTAAGTTTAATAAACACTCACATCTCTGCACTGTGTGTGGTATGGGTATACCAAAGATGTCTAAGAGTTTCTGCCTAAAAGGTGCTCTAAACTTCACTGGAAAGAAGACACAGAAACAAAAGGTTAAACAAGCTGACATATTCATCAAACAGTTAAGCAAATGGGACACCAAACACTCCAGAAAACAAGTGCTATAGCACTTTTGTGATGTGAGACAGTGTTTTCTAACATAACAAATGAATAGTGAGGATCTGGATAGTCTGGAAAGGTACAGAACAGGGGCCAGCAAACATTCTTAGTTAAGGGCCAGGTAGTGAAGAGCCAGGTAGAATTTAGACTTTACAGATCATATGGCCTCTGTCACAACAATGCAACTCTGCCACTGTAGCATGAAAGCAGCCACAGACATATGCAAACAAATGGATACGTGAACTTTTATTTACAAAAACAGGTGGCAAGCCAGATTAGCTCTGCCAGTTGTAGTTTGCCAATTCCTCAATGTACTGGAGGAACAGTGGGGAAATCAGCTTGGCTAGAGCAGGACTTCTGAGAGGGAAAGGTGAGCAATAAGGCGGGATGACTAGGGTAGGGCTCAAATTGTCAAAGGCTTTACATGGCAGGCAGAACAGTGAGGAGGCATTCAAGTGGTGGTAAAATAAGATAAAAAGAGCTCTTCAAGATTAAATGGCAACTGATATGTTGAATGGGGGGAAGAAGGATTAAAAGCTGAAAACAGAAAGTTACTGCCATACTGAAAGCCTGAACTAATTAAAACTGTTTCCTTTTTGTAGCAGTCAGCCTGAATTCCTATTTCTGAGAGAGAAAGAGAACAAACATATCTACAACAATGTCTGAGGTTTGTGATATGGTAAAATCTTGTTTGTCCTTTACCATTCCTTCCCCCTCAAAGATGCTGCCTATTTATTCTTATGTCATGTGGATGAAAAGATTTCCATATTTCCACATATGAAAATAACTTCCTACCTTTAGTAACGTGTTTCAAAGTGGATGTCGAGGGTGTCTCAGGACGCTTAGCCTCTGAAGGATCTGGAGCCATCTCTTCTACAGAACGTGTCTCTTTGGTCTTTGCAGCAGGGCTTGCCTCTTTTTGAGGGGTGAATTTGTTTCTATTTTCTTTTATCAACAACTCTGATGCAGAACCACTCATTTCTCTGATCAAGAAATTATCCATTAACCTGCTCCCCTGCTTTAAAGACTGTCTGGAGGCTACAGGAGTATCTACTTTGACAGCAAGATTCTTTGAAGAGGAAGAAGCAGGAGATTTGGGTGGTGACTCTAAAGCAAACTGCAATAGATGATTCCTTGAAGAACAAAAAATACAACAGATGATTAAGATATCCAATTTTATATAACAAATTAACTGACATAAGCTGTTTTCCCAATTAACCTTGTTTTCTGAAATACAGGACCTATACTATAATGACAACCAAACCAAAGTTTCTTCTAGTATAACTCAAAGCAATAAATCTAACTTAAAAAGCAGTTAATATGTCAATAAAACAAAATGAAACGAAATCAGTTTTCGGCCACAGAGAATAGCTTATATGAGACCTAATCTCCAACCATAAGTAACTTTAAAATCTGAACAAAATATAGGGATATAGTCTGGATGTTGTCTCCACCAAATCTCACATTGAAATGTGATTCCCAGTGTTGGCGGTGGGACCTAGTGGAAGGTGACTGGATCATGAGGGCGAATTTCTCATGAATAGTTTAGCACCATTCCCTTACTGCTGTCCTTGTAATAGTGAGTGAGTTTTCGTGAGATCTGTTTTAAAAGTGTGTGGCACCTCCCCTCCTCTCTCTCTTGCTCCCACTCTCACCATGTAATATGCTGCCCCTGTCTTTTGTTTTCCACTGTGATTGTAAGCAGCCCAAGACCTCACTAGAAGCCAAGCAGATGGCTTGTACAACTGCAGAACCATGAGCCAATTAAACCTCTTTTCTTTGTAAATTACCCAGCCTCAAGTTTACTTTAGCATTCTTTACATTACTTAGCAATGTAAGAATGGCCTAACACACATAAAAAACAACTCTTTGTAGGCACTGGACTGAAATCAACACAAGGCTGCAATGCCTGAAAAAGAAAACATGAAGTAATCCAACATTTCCTCCAAAACTTTACCCTGGAAACATTTTCTAGGAATTGGGTATTAATGTGAAGTCTAAACAGGAAACACTGATCTTACTTGGTAGAGAAAATAAGAGATCAGAGTTCTGGGCAAAGCTGGCCAGGACTGAGGGGTCAGAGTGCTTTGACATGTGGCAGCTACCGAAAGGGAACGCCAGAAGTCTGCTTAGAAATTCACATCCATTCCTGCTCATCTCTAGGGCTGCACATGATTAGACAAAAACACAGGAGACCCACTAGGAAGCTGATAGTGGTAAATTAAAATCCCAAAGGTCAGTGCTGGAAAGTTAGTTGTTCTCAGCCAAAGCTGAGAAATCTTGGTGAAGATCATGGACATTCAAGTGAGATCCCACAAAGGCCACACCTTAGAAAAATGGACCACACTGAAGAAATATAAACAAAGCTCAAACAGACCTAACCTAAGAAAACATTATACCACGCCTTGAAAGAACAAAGATGAAGAGCTAGTGATTTAACTGCCCGTTAGAACAAAATGTGTTATCTTTCAAAAGAAGACAATTCACAGCTTCTACAACATTTCAACCACAATGTTCAGCACACATTTTAAAATTATTGAACATGCAAAGAAGCAAGAAAAAGTAGCCACTAATCAAGAGATAAAATATTCAATAGAAGCAGACCCAAAGGTAATCCAAAGAATAGCATTTCTAGGTAAGGACTTCAAACTATGATAAACATGTTAAATAAAAAAAAAAAGAAAGAAAGAAAGAAAAAGAAAAAGGATTAAAAGATAGTGTATTATGAGAAATAAAATCCATTAAGAAAAGAATAAAATGAACCTTCTACAACTGCAAAATACCTTATCTAAACTGGATGAGTATAACAACACACAATACAAACTTGAAGGCAGGTCAATAGAAAATATCCAAACTAAGCACAGAGAGAAAAATTAATGAAAAAGACAGACACAAAAAAGTATGAGATATTGGGCATAAGCAGAAGCCCAGAAGGAACAGAAAGAAAGAACGGAAAATCAGCAATACTAGAAAAACCAATGGCTGAGAATTTTCAAATCTGATGGAAAAAAAAAATCAACCCATAGATTCCACCACTACAGAATTTACATGAAACTCAACAACAGAAAAATAACTAGAAAATCTCCAAATGTTAAGAAATAAAGCACCACACTTCTAAATAACCCCACATGTCAAATCACAATGAAAACTAGAAAATATTCTAAACTGAATGATAGCATGAAAGGTTGCCAAAACTGTCTCTGGAGGGAAAATTATTGAAAATAGAAAAAGTAAAAGCCACTACTCTAAGCTTCCAACTTAAAAGGTTAGGAAATGAACAGCAAACTAAACCCAAAGAAGGGAGGAACTAATAACAGATACTAGTGAAATAGAAGAGATATCAGGAGAAAACAAGCAAAGCCAAATGTTGGTTCTTTGAAAAAAATAACAGGATTAATCCCTACGAAGACCGAACATGAAATAAATGAGAAAATACAAATTACCAAAACAAAGAATTAAAAGAAGACCTCATTACAAATCCTATAAAAAAGATAATCAGAGGATATTACGAACACTTTAAAACAATAAATTTTAAATTTTAGATAAAATGGACAAATTCTTTGAAAGGCACTATTCATCAAAACTGACAAAGAAACAGAAAACCTGAAGAGCCCTTATTATCTATTAAATAAACTGAAGCTATAATTTAAAACTTTTCCACAAAGAAAACTCCAAGCCCAGATGGCTTCACTGGTAAATTCTACCACATATTTAAGGAAGCTTTGTTTATATTTCTTCGGTGTGGACATGGTGGCACGTGCCCATAGTTCTAGCTAATTGGGAGGCAGAGGCAGGAGAATCCCTTGAGCCCAAGAGTTTGAGGTTACAGTGAACCATGATCATACCACTGCACTGCAGTCTGGGCAACAGAGCAAGAAGAAGGGAGGAAAGGGAGGAAGGGAAGGAAGGGGAGGGAGGAATAGAGGGGGGAAGGAGGAATAGAGTGGGGAAGGAAAAAGGAGGTGGGAGGGAGAAAGGAAAGGAAGGAGGGAGAAAGAAAAGGAGGAAGGGAGGGAGGGAGGGAGGGAGGAAGGAGGGAAGGAGGGAAGGAGGGAAGGAGGGAAGGAGGGAGGGAGGGAAGGAGGGAGGGAGGGAAGGAGGGAGGGAGGGAAGGAAGGAAGGAAGGAAGGTCGGTCAGTCTTGTCCATCTGTGAACTATACAATAACCTTACCTCTTCAGAATGGGGCTAAGAATCAAGAGTCAAAATAGGCCTTTGGGTAGACATGAGTAGCCATTAAACCTATGCAATCAATTCCATAGACTTCTGTAACTAAAGTCCCCGCAATGCTAGTTCTGATCAGAAACACGTAAACAGCAGTCTAGAACCATTTGGCTAAACAAGCAGAGGCCCACCCAAACACAAATTCTTTTTATAGCACCTTAGGGTATCAACACCATTGAAAATATAGGCAATATATAATAATAATAATAATAATAGGAATATTTTTAGGTTCCTTTGTTGTAGGTATTATGCTGGATATCTTTTGCTATAGCTCTTCCTTTCTAATCCTCAAGGCATCGACAGTATTATTCTCATCTTTTTAGATGAAACAGGAGTCAAAGAGGTTAAACATCTTGATCACAATCACATTAGAACTAATAGGGCCTAGACCAATGCTCAATTCTGCCTGAATTCAACATCAGTATGCTTTAAACTGTACAATAAAAAAGGTGAAATTATATTCTACTTCCTCTTTGTGAGTTGCTGAGGGAATTTTACTTCAATTGTCATCTAAAATGTTTAAATTCTTAAACTTGGAGTATTTGCAGAAAAACTTACCCCTTACTAGTGGATAAACAAAAGCAGTAAATGATGCTCTCTACTCTCAATTTGTAAAAATAATATAGAGATGGACATTGACTACAAAAACAGAGAAACAACATTCACTTAAGTCAAGAATGATGCTACACTTACACAAAAATATTCTAATAAATGTTCAACAACAGGCTAAGAACATTATTTTAAATAAAACTAAGTCAAGGAAAAAATCATGTGTTCTTTGAAAATAGTAAAAGATCAGATGAAAATATAAGAGCTGTATGCAGCCTTGTATCTGAAAACCTCTAAAATTATTTCCAATATCCTTTTTATATTATTAAATTTAGAATATTAAATATTTAAAAATCATAATGGCACATAAAATGACAATGACAAATGAGAATGCCAAGAAATGAAATTGACAGACAATATAAATATCTTATATTTTGATCATAGGATTAAGCTTCCTCCCTCATAAATCTTAATCCACAGTTCAAACAAGTAATGAAATTGACTAGCTTGAATTTCATCCCTCCTAAGTCTGCAAATGAAGAGCCACAACACTTTACCCATGACAAGTGTTCACCACAAGGATGATGCTATAGGAAGAGCAGCAATTCCAAGAAGGCAAACAGAGAGAGGAACAAACAATATAAACCATCCCAACTCTACAAATAATGCTTCCCACCCTACCACACCCACTATAATGAATAACTAAATCATGTATTCCTTTCGGGAAGGAGAGGGGACAGAGGAGAGCTCAACCAGTCCATGACCTCCCTTTAAGTTACACCAAAAGGTCTGTGAATCCAAAGACCTTGATCACTTCTCTTCAACAAACAGATGCTGTTATATGCAAGGTTTCCTTTATCCTAGCAGGGAAGTTGTTATGCTTTCAGTACTGGCTGAGGAAAAAAGCCTTGAGAAAAACAGGCAATCAATTCCCTTTTAAAGGCATGGTCCCTTCCTCTCATAGATTTCAAAAACTTACTGGTGAAAAATGCTAAGAAAAAAAGTAGCTTTAATTGGGAAAATCAGAGATTTTTAAAGTTTTTTAATCTAGGAAAGTATGCCATCTTTTTTAAACTACACCATCTTTTTTTCCGTAAGGAAATAACTAACCAGCCAATCTCTAGGATGTACATGAAGTTAGCTCAGAGTACAGTCGGCCCTTCACATCTGCCAGCTCCGCATCTGTGGATTCAACTAATCACAGAGCAAAAATGTTCAAAAAATAATAAAAGTAACAATACAACAATAAAAAATATATAAATTTTAAAAACACAGTATGACAACAATTTATATAGCATTGTATTAGGGCTATAAGTAATCTAGAGGTGATTTGAAGTATAAGAGAGAATGTCCATATGCAAATACTATGCCATTTTATGTCAGGGACTTCAGCATCCACAGATTTTGGTATTCTCGAGGGTCCTGGGACCAATCCCCTTGACTGAGCAACAACTGTACAAATTTGATCATTTTTAGAATGCAAACCAATAAAGAAATGTGCAATTCTATTGAAAGAAATCTGTTTATATTTTTTAAAGCAACATAAGGTACCTCCAAGAATGTTCCAACAAGCCTAGAAGTCCCATCCGGTCACAAGCCATATAATGATGCTTTGTTGTTCAACAAGAGACCAAATACATGGTGATGGTTTCATTAGATGATAATGGAGCTGAAAAATTCCCATTGCTAAGTGACATCTTGATAATCCTAACCCTGTGTGGGCCTAGGCTAATGTGTGTGTTTCCATCTTTTTTTTTTGAGACGGAGTCTCGCTCTGTCACCAGGCTGGAGTGCAGTGGCATGATCTCCGCTGACTGCAACCTCCGACTCCCTGGTTCAAGCGATTCTCCTGCCTCAGCCTCCCAAGTAGCTGGAATTACAGGCATGTGCCACCACACCCATTGAATTTTTGTATTTATAGTAGAGACAGGGTTTCACCACGTTGGCCAGGATGGTCTCAAACTCCTGACCTCGTGATCTGCCCACCTCAGCCTCCCAAAGTGCTGGTATTACAGGCATGAGCCACCGAGCCCGGCCTCCATCTTCATTTTTAAGAAAAAATTTAAAAAGGAAAAAATAATAACAATTTTTAAAACTAGAAAAAAGTTCACAGAATAAGGATATAAAAAAAGATGCTTCTACAGCTGTATGATGTGTTTGTGTTTTAAGCTACGTGTTATTACAAAAGAGTCAAAAAGTTAAAAAAAGTATACGTTTATAAAATGTAAAAGTTATAGTAAGGTTAATTATTGAAGAAACTTTTTTATAAATTTAGTGTAGTCTAAGTGTACAGTGTTTATAAAGTCTACAGTAGTGTACAGTAATGGCCTAAGCCTTCACATTCACTTGTCACTCACTCACTGACATCCAGAGTAACTTCCAATCCTGAAAGCTCCATTCATAGTAAATGCTCTATAAAGGTGTATGGCATTTTTTATCTTTTATACCATAGTTTCACTGTACTTTTTCTATGTTTAGATACACTAATAGGTACCACTGAGTTGCATAGCTATAGTAACATGCTGTACGGGTTTTGTTACCTAGGAGCAATAGGCCCTGCCATATAGACTAGGAGTGTAGTAGGCTACACCATGTTGGTTTGTGTAAGTACATTCTATGATGTTCACACAACAACCAAATTGCCTAATGACACATTTCTCAGAACATATCCCTGTTAAGCAACACATGATTACACTTAACTACAGGGGCACCTGACCACTATCTAAACACAGTATGTCCTTCATAAAAATTCTTGCTTGACTTGCATGTTAAAACTAAAAGTAATCCAAGATATTGAAACATGGCTTTTCATATCCCTTTCGGTGACCAAACTCACTTTCACACATTCATGCATTTGACAGTTAGGAAGTAAAGTTGCATATCTAAGCTTTATAAAGTACAAGCAATTACATATTTCAAATGCCATACCATTTAATACATGCTGAATAAATCGGATTAAGAATAGATTAATATATAGCAGACAGACTCAATTACAGATGTGTATATACATGAGTTAGTACATACATATACATAATACACATATATTACTTAGCTCTGCCCATTGAGAGGGCCTAGAAGCAATGACACCCCAGTAGCAACAAGCATACCCAGCACCAGATCCTGGTCTCTCAATGCTATTCTCCAATAGGAGGAGCTCCTTGGAGAAATGGCTGATTCTAGGGCTTGGGCAGGAAAAGGAGTATCTTTAGAGCACCCAAAAGTAAGGAAGCCCTCAAATCTGCATTTTAACTCTTAATTTTTCTATACTACAGGAGAATTTCTGTTAAGTAAAGGAAGAAAATCTTACTCTAATAAATTTTCCACGCGTGAATAATGACTACTGTTACTTCCCTTCTTTGACTATAAAATATGCAACCCTTTATTCCCTAATCCAAAGGTGCAGAAAGTAAAGAGAGAACACATACAAAAGGCAAAAGTAGTTAGAGGTTAGTCACAAAATTAAATCATACCGTGCAAAATTCAAGCTTTTTACCAGTTCATCTAATATGCGGTTATTTTTCAGATCCGGCTCTGTGACAGTCTAGAAAAAACAGACGGAAAAAGGTCAAAAACAATAATCAACTTGTCATAATCTTGTTTTTGAAAATGTCTGACCCATCCTCCTGAGGTTCGCCACCCCACTAAGTCTTCTAAGGCGGCCTCAAAATAAAGTTCATTTATCTCATGCTAATATGAAATTTTAAAACAGTGAATCAGTATCTGTTGACTGGAAGTCTGATAAAAGCTCTCCAAAGCTTCTCTTATAATCATATATATTCTGTACTGACTACAATCAAACCTAATATAAGCAAGAATCTTTCTTCAAAATGCCAGCACTCAGCTTTCTCAAAAATTTCTCTGGAAAAAGAGAAGAGAAATGTTCTTTTAAGTACTAACATTGGGAGAGGCATTAAGTGTTCAAGGAGAATTTTAAAATAAGAATGGTTTTCAGGAATGCAAGAGAAAAGTTATAAACCCAGTACTTATTTGGTATGAATGGTACACAGTTTATTTCAGTGATGAGACCATCTTGACAAAAGCAGTGTAACATTGTAAACATCTTAGACTTGAGAGCCAAATCACAAAATTTCTTACATAGAGAAATAGTTTTTGTTTTTTTTTTTTTTGAGACGGAGTCTGGCTCTGTCACCCAGGCTGGAGTGCAGTGGCCGGATCTCTGCTCATCGCAAGCTCCTCCTCCCGGGTTTACGCCATTCTCCTGCCTCAGCCTCCGGAGTAGCTGGGACTACAGGCGCCCGCCACCTCGCCCGGCTAGTTTTTTGTACTTTTTAGTAGAGACGGGGTTTCACCGTGTTAGCCAGGATGGTCTCGATCTCCTGACCTCGTGATCCGCCCGTCTCGGCCTCCCAAAGTGCTGGAATTACAGGCTTGAGCCACCGCGCCCGGCAGAGAAATAGTTTTGCAAGGTTCAGTGACACCCTGACACCACATACCTACCAGAGAGGCAAAACTAACTAAACTCCTTACCTAGTCCTAGCGTCGCTCTGTCAGACCTCACCTGTCTCTTCTTTCTTTATTCCCACTTATGTTTAATTACCCTTTTAGTCTGCTTTTCCACCTGTTCCCACTACCTGAAAAGTTTCAGAAACAATAACAACAAACTTCCTAGCGTTTTCCCTGAAGCTCTGGTAGGGGAAAGACCTAAGGGAACAGGTAGGCTGGATTAAGTCCAACGGCTATGCATATTTTTCTGCACAAATACTTAGACCAGTTCTTTGCAAATGAATAATCCTACCATCAGAGTTTCTACCAAAGTGAGAAATTATTAAAAATTAGAAGCCATAAAAACATGGGTCATAAGAAAGAGTGCTACATCCTGAACTTAAAATTAGTTTTTACTTCCTAAAATACATTTAGGTTTTCAGAAATCTTAACAAAAAACTGAACAAAGCCCAGCTCTTCTTACATGCTCCTTTCCGAAAGTGTCTTTCAGATAGCTTAATTCAGTAACTACACATCACCCTACATATACACAGGCTTTTATACATACACAAAGCAAAAATATTTGCAGTAGTCAGTAAGTTTTCAAAAAAGAAACAAAAACTCACCACACAACAAGTTGGACACTGAGTTTTATAGGACAGAAATTTTCTTATACAGAGAGAGCAGTCTGCAAAACACAAAGTGCAACATAATGTTGACGAGGTTATACTAATACAGGAATATGACTTCTAACAAAATCTTAAGCCCTAGACTATTTCCATCATCTAAGGTATATCATCATAAGCTTAAATTTCTAGTACCTCTACTCTATGCACACTTACACATGTGATTAAACAGCATTTTAAGGAAAGGAAAACACAAATATTGTAAGTCCTTAGGATACCACAACTACACAAGCAACATACATCACTCTGTGTCCTCCATCTGCAAAATACAGGAAACACACGTGCAAGACTTGAGCTGGGTACTGTATAAACTTGCCAGGTATCTCTACTGCTTATCATTTGAAAATATAAATTCTGAAATAATATATATAAACATATTAAGAAAAAATATATACCCAGGTTATCAAATTAGGGACGTCTATATCTTAATTCTGTAAATAATATCCTCTGTCCCACATTTAACAAGTACTTTTGTGGCAGGCACTAAGAACAATATATATAAAGGAAGGTTCTTGACCTCAAGGAGCTAATTAAATAGTGAAGCAATTACAGCATAATTCAGCATAATATAGCCTAACAATTTAAGCAGGAAATGGGCACAAACTAAATTCACAACACTCAAGGCAGTGTAAAATATTCTCCAGATCAAAGAAAAAGCAGATGTGACTAACAGAATGGTACCTTACTAATTACCTAAGCTAATTTACTAGTAGCCCAAATTCAGCTGGATTCTGTTTAGTTGAGGAGGAGACAATATAATTTCAATGGTACGGATATCCAGGAAATAAGCAAGTCTTGCCAGCCTAAGTAAGAGCACCCCACGAGGAAAAACAAAGAAATACATTATAAAAAGGATAAAACAGACAACAGGTTGAGTTCTTTTAGGAAGCAAAGATGAATACAGGGGACCGACTCGGCATGTAAGGGGCTTAGAAGTCACCACACTGTCCTAACAACAAGTAAAAAGCTGAACAAACTGAAAAACCAACAACTTTTATTAGATCCAGGAGAAAAGCAGGGTCACAGGGCAAACTGCTGCCCGCCGAACTGGGGAGAGACAGAGGTAATACAGAGAATCACAACTTACTGGAACAGAAACCCACAAACAGAAACCTCGATGGGAACCAGAGAAGAAACCTGTGCTGGAACCAGTGCTGGAGTGGGAGAACCTGAGCTGTAATTGACAAATTGCTGGCGGCTCAGTGTGGGCAAGTCTGAGCGTTAAAAATTCCAGGGAACCCTGTCATTGCAGAGGTGGGGAGGATGTCCTCATACTTCTGTGAGTTTTAGTTCCAGGAGTTCTTCTAAGTTCTCACAGTGAATATTGGAGAAAAACCCCCTAGTCATTCCAGGAGTAGGAGGGTAAAAGTAACCATTTCTAAATGAGTCAGAGTAGTCTGTTTTTTTTTGGTTTTGTTTTTTTTTTTCCCTTCGAGACGGAGTCTAATTCTGTCACCCAGGCTGGAGTACAGTGGCACAATCTCGGCTCAGTGCAACCTCCACCTCCTGGGTTCAAGTGATTCTCCTGCCTCAGCCTCCCAAGTAGCTGGGATTACAGGTGTGTGCCACCACACCCAGCTAATTTTTGTATTTTTAGTAGAGATGGGGTTTTGCCATATTGGCCAGGCTGGTCTCAAACTCGTGACCTCAGGTGATCGCCCACCTCAGTCTCCCAAAGGGCTGGGATTACAGGTGTGAGCCACTGCACTGGCCCAGAGTAGTCTGTTCTTAACAAAGCCCCCCCTCAGGAGAAACTATTTTACCAGGGCCTAATCTACTGGAGTTTTATCAGAGCCTAGCTGACTTTGGAAAAAGGAAATACACAACTGCAGCCCTCTAGACTGCAGATAGACAGCCCTCTATCCTGTCCCATCTAAGGAGGGGAAAACTGAGGAGCACTAGTGACATTCACAGTCCAGGGCAAAGTTCGCTAAAAGGCCTAATCATAGGACTACAGAATGTGTCCCCTCTGCCCATACCTAAAGGCCTATTTACTGCAGTTCCTTTTACCCAGTACATCATTTCCAGTTATTAAGAAAAAAATCACAAGGAAAAACACACAGTTTGAAGAAACTGAGCAAGCATCATAACCAAAGTCAGATATGCCAGAAATGTTTAAATTATCGGACCAGCAATTTTTTAAAATTATATGCTAAGGGCTCTAATGGAAAAAGTAGACAACATCAAGAACAGATCGGTAACATAAGCAGAGAGGTGGAAATTCTAAGGAAGAATCAAAAGGAAATGCTAGTGATCAAAAGAACCACTATAACAGAATGCCTTTGATAGATTCATTAATACATTGAACACAGCTGAGGAAAGAATCTCTGCGCTTTAGGACATGTCAATGGAAACCTCCAAAACTGAAAAGCAAAGAGAAAAGAAAAGACAGGAAAAATGGAATAGAATATCCAAGAACTGTAGAACGACTACAAAAGATGTAACATACACATAATGGGAATACCAGAAAGAGAAGAATGAAAGGAACAGAAGAAATAGTAATGGCTAATAATTTCTCCAAATTAACGTTAAACACTAAACTACTCATCCTGGAAGATCGGAGAACACTAAGCAGGATAAACGCAAAAACAAAACAAATAGCCACCTCAGCCAATCAAATTGAAACTACATAGAATCAAAGATAAAGAAGAAATCTTGAAAGAAGCTATAGTGGGGGACTTACCTACAGAGGAGCAAAGAATGACACTTGACTTCTCACAAACCACACAGAGAGTGCAGTGAAATATTTAGTGTTGAGAGAAAAAACATCACCAACCTAAAACTATATCCTGAGAAATTATCCCTCAAAAGTCAAAAAGAAATAAGGACTTTCTCAGACAAATACAAATTGAAGCAATCTTTTCAGTAGACTTCCCTTGCAAGAAATGCTAAAAGAAATTCTTCAGAGAGGAGGAAAATAATTTAGGTCAGAAACTCCAATCTACATAAAGAAAGGAAGAGTACTGGAGAAGGAATATGTGAAACTGTAATAAAAACTTTTTCTTGTTAATTTAACAGATAACAGTTTGTACAAAAATAATAACAAAGTATTCAATTATGGATGCTTATTATGTATACATATATAAAAATGCATGCTATGAATGCTTATGCATAAGTGAAATGAATGACAGCAATGGTACAAAAGACTAGAGGAAAGAATTTCTTAGCTCGAGCTGCCATAACAAAATACCACAGACTGGGTAGCTTAAACAACAGAAATTGTTTTCTCATGGTTCTGGAGGCTAAAAGTCCAAGATCAAGGTGCCAATATGGTCAGTTTATGCTGCAGGCTGTCTTTCTGGTCTACAGACAACCACCTTCTCACTGCGTCCTCCCACAAGGGGGTGGGGAGAGTCCATAAACTCTGGTATCTCTTCTCATACGGACACTAATCCCATCACTAGAGCTCCACTTTCATGACCTAATTTAAACCTAATTATCTCCCCAAGGCCTCATCTTCAAACACCAACACATTGGGGTTGGGGCTTCGACATAGGACTTTAGGGGGGATAAAATTCACTCCATAGCATTCTACCTTTAACCTCCCAAATTCATGTTCTTCTCAAATGCAAAATACATCCATACCATCTCAACAGCCCCCAAAGTCTCAACTTATTCCAGTACCAACTCTAAAGTTTAAAATCTAAAGTCTCATCTAAATATCACCTAAATCAGATATGGATGAGACTCAAGGTATGAATCATCCTGAGGCAAAAATTCCTGACCAGACTCATTCTCTTAATTACCAATGCTATTCTCTTTATACTAAAAGAGTCTCCTGAGCAATACTGTAAGTCAAGAAATCCTAAAACCTGGCTGCTCAGCTCAGTCACCTAGGGAGATTCATGTTGGTTTCAACTTAGTTTCCCAGACTCTACCCCCAGTCACAGTGATTCAATGGATTTTGGTCAGTAAATCACATCCTTAATATGTGATATTGATTCAACAACAACAATTTTTTTAAAATTAATAAGTTGTTACTATTAAGTTGAATTATATGAAACTGACATTTTTGGTTAAGTCAAAAATGGACAAATATTGCAATTTCATGTGGTTCAAACAAACACTGCACTTAGTATGTGCTCTGTTCTAAGCACTTTACATGTATTAACTAGTTTGATCCTTACAGCAACCCTGAGGTTGGTACCAATATTAGTCATATTTGACAAGAAGAAAAATGAAGCACAGGGCTCAGCCAACTTGCCAAAGATAACAGAACTAATACGTGGCAAAGGCAAGCACCACAGTCCATACTCTTAATATATTTTTTAATATACTTTTTAATATACTTTTTAAAAATATATTTTTAATATATATTTTTAATATACAATCCATACTCTTAATATGTTTACTTAAAATTACAGATGCTCCTTGACTTAACATGGGATTACATCCCAATAAACCCATCATAAATTGAAAATATCATAAGCCAAAATGTATTTAATATACCTATCTCTAACCTGGGAAAATATTAAAATTCAAAATTCAAAGTATGGTTTCTATTGAATGTGTATCACTTTCACACCATCGTAAAGTTGAAAAATCCTAAGTCAAATCATCGTTAAGTCAGGGACTGACTATATCTATAAATATTTGTTTATAATAAATATATACTGTACGTTTACACTATAAATAATATATATGTATATAAATATGTACTATGTATAGTTATATTATACTTATACAACATATTGTGTATATATATTATATATACATGTTACTATTGTACCTATATAGTAATAAGTATATATTATATATTATGTATACTTATATCAATTAAATAATATTTAATTAATAAGGTCACATGTGCCTTTTAAATTAATTTTTATAATAAGGCTGCTGCTTTCTCTTCTGCATAATCTTGTATATGTTTCCTTTCCTTTCCTTTTCTTTTGAAATGCAGAGAATCAGATATGGAGTCCTGAGTAGATCAAGCCCTAGGCTTAATTTCAGTCTACTAGACTACTACCAAATATGTACTGGTAAGCTGCAGACCAGCATA